ACTCAGCAAATTCATGGCCGCCAAGAGCACCAACTGCTGACCCTCGACCTTCCTGGAGTTGAGGACCACCGTGCTCTTTGTTCCTTGGGCGAACGCTGGCAGCCACTGTGTCTCAAGCCGTTGGTTCTTATAAACCACACCCATTTGGTTGATGTCGTAGTAGACACGGTACCGCTTGTTGGGGTTTCATTTTCAAATGCCCATTTCATAGCCAACTTGAAAATTTGTATAGTTTGAATTGAATTGGGAGGAATAATGGGTCAAAGACATCAGAATGGATCTCCTTCCTCAACATAATTCAAACCATTTGCCAACGTTAGGTGTAACGACTCAAACCCACTAATAGATATTATTCTCTTTTGACTTTTCTTTTCAGACTTTGTCTTATAAATAATGTTTCGTTCTCTTTTTTAACGGATGTGGAATCTTACATTCACCTCTTTTGAGACCTAGTGTCCTCACTTGCACTCGTTCTCTTCTCCAATCGATGTGGGACCACCCAATCCACTCTCTTTTGGGACCCAGTGACCTTGCTGGCACACCGTCTCGTGTCCACCCCCTCTGAGACTCAACCTCCTCGTTGGCACATCGTTCAATGTCTGACTCTGATACCATTTATAACTACTAAAATTCAGTAGATATTATTCTCTTTGGACTTTCCTTTTTCGGTTTTTACTCGAAGTTTTTAAAATAGGTCTGCTAAGGAGAGTTTCCACACCCTTATAAAAAAAATGTTTTGTTCTCTCCACTAATGTAAGACAAGAAAGAATACGGGGTTAACTGCATTGATTGAAACTTTGAAGCTGCCTTTGGAAAGGCTGGTTCACGAGGTATAAGGAATTTGGATATAGTTGACAATTGAAAAGAGAATACATTCGATTATTCAAACACAAAAAAGAAACAGTCTACAAAAGTGGAAGCGTACACGGTTGGCTTAAAGTTTCAAACTTTATAATAGAATACATCATAATTGATTCTATTCCCTCCATTTTTAGGGCTCTAAAACATTCTTCTAACAACACTGTCTGTTCAGGTTGTCGCCCCTTCATGCTTTCTTTGTCAGCTATTTAATATGAAGGCTGAAGCTGTTGGTGTAATTCTGATATTATGCCATTACCCTAACATCGAATGAGTTTAGTTTTTTGGTTGCTCTTAATAGCCAAACCCATGTTCTTACCTTTTGTTTTCTTCATCATTCTACCCATTCATATGTGATATGGTCATGTGACAATTACCTATTAGCGTCCACGAGAATTACACTATTATTTTGTGATTTTGACTTGTAGCAACTAGTTATCTAAAAACCTGGGAGCTAACCAATTTTAACGTCCCTCAAATAATCAAATGACATTAATATGCATTTTATAACGAATTCGGATTGATCTAAGGTGGTAGAAAGTTAGGACATTATGAATCGATCAAAAATACATACAAAACTAGAATATTTATTCGTACCAAAATAATAATAATAATAAAAACAGCTAAAAACCGGAAAGAGTATATGAACATAGAAACAAAAAACAATGAAAAAAATAATAATCAAAAGAACAAATCAAAATATGCATATAGTTGACTCAGTCAAAAAAATCTGCTAAGGGTTGACTAAGTCAAAAACCGCAGGTGACCAATCAGAAATCGAAATCGCAGCGAGTGGCCTGAAAGAAAGTAAAAGAGGTGGCACTTGATTCCAATGGAACCTTCAATTCACAGTGGACCTTTGGCTTCAACTTCCCAATCCTAACGGCGCCCAATTTCAACCTCAACCGTGGACGGAACTTGACGTCGATGTTGAACACGCCGGCGAGCTTCTCGGCGTTGAACTCTGTAAGCTCCTGGGCGCCGAGGAGGACCAGCTGCTGGCCGTTGAATTGGGGGGTTACGACGGTGGTGGTCTTGTGGCCTTGGTAGAAGGGCGGCAGCCACTGGGTATTAAGCCTCTGGTCCTTGTAAAAGGGGGAGGCTTCGATGGCGTCGTAGTACACTCCAATCCGCTTGTTGGGGTTTCTAATGGTGAGGTTTAAAGCGAGGTTGTAACGGAGCTGGTTGCCGGTGAAGTTGAATTGGGTGAGTTCGGCGCTGGTGACGTCGAACCTCAGCTTATTGGGACGGAATACGAGCCATAATATCAACACCGCTATGCCGACCACCACCACTATGCCAATGATGAGCTTGATTATGGTGCTGAGGAGGCAGCAGGCGCAGCCTCGGCCGTGGCCGGGACGGTGGTAGGTCTTTGTGGGGGGAGGGACGGAGGGGCCGTAGAAGGCGCCGTTCAAGTGGGGTTGTTTGTCAGCCATGTGGCGGAGAGAGAGAAGGGGGATTATTTGGTGAAGAGAGAATTGGAAGTGAAATGAGGTGGGAATTTGGAGGCGATGAATTTTGATATAAATAGAGAAGGAAGTCGGCGTTTCTACGCGTAGTGGAAGCTTCGTAGGAAGTTTCTGGTTAATGGTATGTATGTTTATTTTCTTAGAAACCTATTTGATTTGATTGGTTGGTTATCATATTGTTATTACATTGATTAGTCCTTCAGGAAATAAGATATTGGTATAGTTTTTGGTACGTTTTTTTTATGGCATTGACAATTTATATTTAACTTTTAAACGTGTTTTATGGGATACAATTGATGTTATTTCCTACGAAGCTTCCACTACGCGTAGAAACGCCGACTTCCTTCTCTATTTATATCAAAATCATCGCCTCCAAATTCCCACCTCATTTCACTTCCAATTCTCTCTCCACCAAATAATCCCCCTTCTCTCTCTCCGCCACATGGCTGACAAACAACCCCACTTGAACGGCGCCTCACCAAATAATCCCCCTTCTCTCTCTCCGCCACATGGCTGACAAACAACCCCACTTGAACGGCGCCTTCTACGGCCCCTCCGTCCCTCCCCCCACAAAGACCTACCACCGTCCCGGCCACGGCCGAGGCTGCGCCTGCTGCCTCCTCAGCACCATAATCAAGCTCATCATTGGCATAGTGGTGGTGGTCGGCATAGCGGTGTTGATATTATGGCTCGTATTCCGTCCCAATAAGCTGAGGTTCGACGTCACCAGCGCCGAACTCACCCAATTCAACTTCACCGGCAACCAGCTCCGTTACAACCTCGCTTTAAACCTCACCATTAGAAACCCCAACAAGCGGATTGGAGTGTACTACGACGCCATCGAAGCCTCCCCCTTTTACAAGGACCAGAGGCTTAATACCCAGTGGCTGCCGCCCTTCTACCAAGGCCACAAGACCACCACCGTCGTAACCCCCCAATTCAACGGCCAGCAGCTGGTCCTCCTCGGCGCCCAGGAGCTTACAGAGTTCAACGCCGAGAAGCTCGCCGGCGTGTTCAACATCGACGTCAAGTTCCGTCCACGGTTGAGGTTGAAATTGGGCGCCGTTAGGATTGGGAAGTTGAAGCCAAAGGTCCACTGTGAATTGAAGGTTCCATTGGAATCAAGTGCCACCTCTTTTACTTTCTTTCAGGCCACTCGCTGCGATTTCGATTTCTGATTGGTCACCTGCGGTTTTTGACTTAGTCAACCCTTAGCAGATTTTTTTGACTGAGTCAACTCTACATGTATTTCCATTATTTTTCTTTTCCTCTATTGTTTTTTGTTTTTATATTGATATCTTCCTTCTTTTTTTATGTTCATATGAATAAATATTCTAGTTTTTGTATATTTATTCTTAGAACTCATATTAAAATTGAGAATAAATCTTAATTTAGAAGAAGCCTATTGCAAATTTATTTATTTATTTATATATATATATATATATATAAAGAGTTATTTTAATTTTTTTTTAATAAAATAGTTGAAAATGGTAAATTTATATCCATTTAAATTTCTTATTTTGTTCGAGAAAAATACGTAATAATAATAATAATAAATATGGGAGATGTTTGTATATATATATTTATGAATTTTAAAATAAATATATTTAGTTAATCGTATGTTTATTTATTCAATTAAGAAAATACGGTGAACCAACGAACGTAAATTTCTATTGGGAGTGAATGGATTGAACATGGGCCACAACCCGGCCCGGATCAAACTGGACAAGGCTAGTATTTTCAATCTCGTTTTGGGCCTAGGCCTTGAGAAAGCCCAAACCATTTGAAAGTTCATTTCTTATCTCAAATAATAAAAAAAATATATAAAAAAAAAAAACCATTTTCCACTAAATATTTAATCCATTAACAAACTATAATAGTCTAAGCTTGTACGTATTGGCGTCAACCTCACAGCTTTAAAATGCGTCTGTTAGTAAGAGGTTTCCACGTTGTTTATAAGAAATGTTTTGTTTCAGTCTCCACCTTATCTTATTAATATATAATCATAAATACAAGAGCAACCACAACATTAATGGACACTAAAGGCCATTAATAGTTAATGCGAGAAGTCTGTAGGAATAGAGTAGAGGCAAAATGATTAAATGAGACAAATCACACAAACTTTAAACCGGATTAGATTAGAATAAATTAATTTGGGGACAAAATTGGGAAATGGAGAAAGCACGAAACTTTAGTACATTGATATTTGAAAAGTTTGGCCAACTTTGGAATTAATAACATTGGGAAAGAACAATAAAGCATAGGCTATGAAAAGATTGAAATAAGTAAGAGGAAAAACAGAAATTGAGCACCACATCCATTACCCATGTGGAACACCAACCCCACACCTTAAGTGCCACTTTTCATACTCATTATTATTATTATTATTATTATTATTATTATTATTATTATTATTAAATTCCTATACCTAATTAAAGGCACATTTATTTTTATGTTTAAATGGAAAATGGAAAAAAGTGAATAGCATGTCCCTTACGGAACTCGTCTATTTTTAGTTCAATTAAAATTTTAATTTCAACTATAACCTTAATTTTTTTTTTAATTATAATTGTATTTGTTATTATTATTAACTCGTTATGTTGCTAAAAATACCACCAAGGACGAGAAATTATAAAAATAAAATAAAATAAAATAAGATAAAGTGTTGCATTGACGAAAATGCCACCGAAGGAGACAATAATTACCATACATTCCCACTAATCCCATTTATTAAAATTTAAACACATTTAATTTCCGCCAATCCTTTTGCAGAAAATTATATTGTTTTTTTCTTTCCAACACGGCTTGTGCACTTTGTATAAAACCTACCAATATAATCGTAAAAACACGTTTACTCATAAAATTAAAAAAAAATAATAATAATAATACAACCGTTAAGTAACGGCGTTTATATTTGAGCTTACTTACCCTCAAACACTGACGTCGCATCGCTGAACAACCTGGTACTTGACGTTATACTGAACAATCGACCCATCGCTCGGACTCGGATACCCGCCGAAGTTAATCGCCGCTGGGCAGTTCGCGTGGAGATGATACCGGCCGGTAATGAAGTTCCCCACCTTCCATCGGACCCGTCCTTCGAGTTTAACTAGCAGCAGCAGCGCTCCGGCGCTTCGGTCTTGATTCAGAGCCGAACTGATGTACGGAGCTACCGGTACGGCGGTGCCGGAGACGAAAGGGGACCATACGTTGACGTCTTTATGGCCTTGGTAGAAACCGGGGATGATGGTCCGGAGAGTGATCTGTTGGTTGCGGTAGACGGCGTAGACGCGGAGGTCGTCGTAGTAGATTCCGATGCGGCGGTTGGGGTTGCGGGAGGTGACTGTGAGAAGGAAATTGGAGGTGAGGAAGCTGGGGACGGTGGCGTTGAAGGCGTAGACAGTGACGTCTTGGAGGACGAAAGTGGGCTTTGTGGGGCGGAGGACGGCCCAGATTATGAGGATGGTGAAGAGGACGAGGACGATGAAGATGCCGATGATAGCGCCGATTAGTTTCACGAGTTTTTTGCGCTTATTCTTGCAGTGCTTCTCGCAGTCGTACGCCATGGCAGTTCTGAGCGGCGAGGAAGATGAAGATGAAGAAAGGGGAAATGGCGTTTGTGTGAACTGACCACTGGTTAAGAGGAGGAATATAGTGTGGGTGTGAAGGAGAATGGATGGTATTTTTATATTTAATCTGCACCGTTCATTTTCAATCCGGTCCCACCATTAGCATCCTTTTTCAAATTGAAGAAAATGGTTGAAAATATCTTCGAAAATTACAATTTTGGCCTCTCAACAAGAAAAATAAAATAATAAGGTATTTACTCTCAAATCACCTTTAAAAAAAATTAGATGGCAGGTTAATTTTGAATAAATTTGAATATTATTAATAATTATATTATTTTATTTTGATTTTAAAAATAAAGTTTACCGTAGTCTTACGCATCTTTCATTAGGTAAAAAGAACAAAATTGGTGTCATTGTCAATTTCTTTTATTGAGAAAAAAAAAAAAAAACTGTTGAAAATGGATGGAGATATTTATGGCAACGGGGAAGTTCAAGAATTAAAAATAGAATTTAATTTAACAAAAAGAGAAAAAGATTGAATTAATATGGTCTCGGATCCATAACCCGATCCGAAAAAACGCGAATTATTCGATTATTTTAAAATCATCACATGGGTGATAAATTTACATAGTAATTACAATTAATTAGCTTCTCAGAATTTAATTATGGATTTAAACGCAGTGCTGCCCGTTATGCTCGGTCAACAAAGGAGCATTTTTAATAATTAGTAAAAATTAAGAAATGAGTATTTTTTTAAGGGATGGGCGTGGAAATGGATCCCCGTCGACGTGGGATATTGATTGATGTTGAAAAAGTCAAAAGCGACGTGGAGTACGAAGGGGCCCACTAGCCTCACACGTCAACAATCCCCTCGCTTCGCTGTGCAAAATGCAATGCACCGACAGGCCATTGTGTCGGCGTTCTGTTTGCTTACTTCCTATCATTTTCATTTCTTTTTATTTTTTTCTTCTTTCATTTATTATTAAAATGAAAAACCATAATTATTCATTTATTCTCTTATATGTTTATTTATTTATTTATACTGCCCATTTTACCTAACAATAATAAAAAAAAATTGGAAAATGTGGTTGTCAAAAAGGGTATATTATTATGTGATAATTAAAATAAAAAAAAAAACAAAAAAGCTTAGCTTTATTTCATCTTTTTAATTATTCCTAGACGCATCATATCTAAATAAATAAAATTTTATTAAAATATTCAAAATTTAAGAATATTCAATTTCATTCCTCAAATGGTGAGTTATTTCATTTATTTTCAGTTTAAATACATATTTTTAAAGACCACAATTTAAAAATTAAATTTCTTCCAATATTTTGATTGCTTTGGCTCGGGAAGCTAAATACCATTTTATACGTTCTGTTTATATATATATTTATTGGATTTTTGTTGGCATCAAACATGGTTCCTAATAATTGTTCCTTTCATAAATGATTGACAAAATAAACAGATAAAATAAAATAAAATAAAATGTTCCTTAATTCATACGTTTTCTTTCCTTTTAATTTTGTCCTTTTTATTTCCATAGCATTCATCTTCTAATCCTAATTTTTACTACACAAATTGAGAGTTAAAACTAATGTATTTTAACACCAAAATCCTTTATAGAATGGTGTAATTGAAACATAAAAAGATGTCTCCACAGGACTCCTATTCCAACAATCGACACTTAAGATTCTATTGACATGACTAGTCAAGATCTAAATTGGTTGTTGAGCCAGGAGGTTCTTTATTTTAATTTAGTATATTAGCTTTGGAAAAAGATATATAATATAGTTTTATAAAGCATAGTTCATGTGATATGTGATGGCTTGAAAAAGGATAATGAGACGAGAAGGGATGGTGGTTGTGTGTTGATTGATGGTCCTTTATAAGCATAATTCATAACATGCCTCATGGAATCCACACCCAATCATATCAATTCATAATTTAGATATCATACTCTTATTATTTAATAATTCTAATTTCATTTTTTGGATTCCTTATTACTATCATTAAAACACCCAAATTATAAACAACCAAAATAATAATAATAATTATTATGTTTGTTATATTCCAATTTCAAATGTCATGAAAGCCTGGGGAGGATTGGGCCTGATCTAATCAAAGCCCAAACACATCATTCTTTTGGACTCTGGTCCACAATCCATTGTGTATTGGGCTTTGTGCGCTTAACAAGCCCACTTATTAGTTAAATTTTTTCATGAAATTCTTCGTTAAATTACAAAGAAATGAGGAAGCGATCGAGTTCTTTTTGTTTTTTTTTTTTTTTTTTTAAATTTTAATTATTTAATTTTACAAAAAAAAGGTTTAATTTACAATTTTCATTTATCTCCTTACAAAAAGAAAACCAAATTCTTACTTAAAGAGAGAACAAAAGAGATTAAACACTTGAAAACAAAACAAAACTATATCCCTAAAATATATATGAAACAACTCTTCATCTAATTTACCATTTTGTCCTTCAACGCCACACGCAATCCCTACTTACCTGAAAAATACAAAACAAAATAAACATGAAATCCTCAGATCTATTTAGTATTATTTTTTATTTCTCAAATTTTAATGGGTGAAAATATATTAAAAAAAAAAAAAACGATTACCCATGAACAGAGACGATGATTCTACATGAGAACCGTGCAATGCATGTGGTGGCCATAGGCGGAGAAGGAGCCATTAACGGAGTTGGGGGTGCCGAAGTCGATCTTCAAATCGTCACAAAAGACTCTCAAAATAACGTGCCTGGTCCACCAAGACCCAGATTGGAAAGTGGTCCATACGAAGAATCTCAAATTGAAACTCACTTTCCTCGTCGCCTTCTCCTTCCCCAATTTCTCCTCCGTCTCCTCCCAATGCCCCGGATCATCAGGGCTACTCGACGTCCATCTTACCCGCATTAGGTTAGTCCTCTCCACACCAAGAAAAAATGGGTCCGCAAACGACATCGCCAGCGTGTTGTCCTTATAGCCCACGAACCCCTGGATCCGCTTGAAAGTCAGGTTCAGTTTCTTGTTGGGATTCTGCACCACCAAGGTCGCGTTCCAGTTTCCGGAGTAATTCGATTTGGAGATGTTAAAATTGGTGACGCCCAAGGTATCAACTCTGAACGTTGGGATTTCTGGTCGGAGGATGATCCAGGTGATTATGCTGGAGAGCATCATTAGAACCACCAGAATTATTAAGGCGGTGACAATGCCGCGGATTAAGGCGGCGTGAAACGGCTCCACCCCGTAATTTTGGGGGCTGTTGTGGTAATAGGCTGTGGGAGGGGCTTGGGCGTAGGCGTAGCCATTGTATGGTGGGTAAGCCCCTGGCGCTGGAGGGTACCCCGGATGTGGGGCTGGAGGGTACCCCATGGTGGGAGGAGGGTAGATCGGAGGTGGGTTGTGTGCGGCGGAGGGCGGCGGAAGAGGTTGGGAGTCGGTGGATTTGGATTTGGATTGTTGATTGTCCGATGAAGAGGCCATTCTTTTTTCCTGCTCTCTCTCTCTCTCTCTCTCTCTCTGTGGCTTAGGGAGAGAGAGAAAGAACAATAATGGAAGGGGGAAGATGGTGGAGAAGGCTTGGATTATGAGGCAGTTCGTTAACGCTTTTCTTAGAAAAGACGGCGGAAGGTTCGGACATCGTCTTCTTCAACCTCTGTTTGGGAACCATTTCCCAATAAAATATGTTATAATTTAATAAATTCATAATAAACTTTAGGACTGAATAATATATATATATATATTTTAAGAACAAACCCACCACTCGTAATCCATTTATTTATTTTCTAAAAAAAAAGATCCTACAGGTATTACAAAATTAATTTCGTCATATTCTAATAAATAAATAATAATTGGAAGGTATTTCATCCGATTTCCTTTTACGGGCGGTTGCCGAAAAAGTGGCACTCTAAACCAGATTTTTCCGTTATAATTTTAAAATATTATATTCTGTTAAAAAGCTATAAAAGGGAAATCCCAATACAGCCCCCCAACATGACAACTGCAGACTCTGGACAAAAGGGTTGAATTGTCTTTTTCTATTGACGAATAACAAGAATTCAGAAACGTCGAGCAAAAAAAGAACATTAATTAAAATGGATATAGAAGAGCAAAAATTTAATTATATAAAATATTGAAAAGATAGGCTCTTAAGGTCGGACAAACTGCACACAAACGTTTTTTTTTTTTTCCTTAGTTTCACAAAAAGGAAAAAAAAAAAAAAAAAAAGCCTTTTGGTCAAAATAGTCATACAATTAAAAAAATATATAATAGGTGGATGATGGACCCACCTACTTCTCTGTGATCAACGGCCTTGATCTTTTCGATTGAAGCGCCATATGATCCAATTATAGCAAACGGAAGACTAGGTACACTTTCCTTTCGGTGTACTCGACTCCACTGGAAAAATTCCAATCCTTCTATCTACCTACTCTGCTATTCACACGCAGTTGAGCGCACAACATGAACCGAAAATAAGCTATTTCGGGTCGGATTCTTTCACGGGTCGGGCAATTGGACCGGCGTGTGACCGGAATCCCGTCGTCACGGCGTCGTGGGCGCAGCAGTGAAATCCGGCCGCCACGCCTGTTTCTTTGGCATTCAGACAGTCCCAGCAGACTGCCGTTTTCAGTCTCGTAGTGCCGTTCTGGACGCCGTCTCCGTCTCCGTCTCCGCCTCCGCCCAGCGCCAGATTGCGTTGCCCTATGTTGATTAAGTATTTCTCCATCTCTAATTGCAGCTTCCAAAATCGCTGGTCGTATTCGAATTGGTTCGTCACCGGCGAGATGAAACCGGGGAGTAATTCGTTTTCGATGCCAGTGTTTCGTCTCAACAGCATCACATTGTCCGGTGGATTTTTCTTCTTCGAATGATTCGTCTTCGTCATTGTCTTTGTGGCCGATGAGAAATCGTATTCGTCTTCGTTTCCCTGGATCTTTCGCCTTCTCTCGCGTCGAGACCGTTTCAGAACCACGAGAAAGAAACAGTTCTTCTCGTGGGCGATTGCGCCGAAGTTGACTTTCCCGGTGATAGGGATTCTCCGCCGAATCTTTGCCGTGGAATCCAGAGAGATCTTATACTCCGCTAAGTAAACCGTGAACTGGTGCGAAGAGATTCCGATCATCTTACTCAAAATCGACTGAAAATTCTTGAACTCCGTCGAAGAAGACACAGCGACGGAACCAATGTCGGCATCTCGTTCGCCATCGTGAAAAACGACCGGGAACGAAACGCACCCGGCGGTCTGCACCATCGCCGCTACAAATTAACCGATTCTTCTTCAAGAAGAACAAACAATCATCCAAAGGGTTTTAGAGAGAAATCTTGAAGGAAGCTGTGGAGGCTTTTACAAGAGTAGGCCTTAGGTTTTTATTCTAACAACTACAGGCGGTGAGGGTATTTTAGGAATAAAAAAAATATATTTGGGGCCATGGTGCCAAGCAAAATAAGAGAGGATATTTTAATAGGCTTTTATATAAGGAAAGAGACTTGGGAATCAAGTAAACCAAAACGACAGCGTAGTGATCGCATTGGGGGGCGCTTAGACCAAATTGGCCCTCGAATAATAGAACTCTCGTCAACGCCTCGTTGGAAGGGGATTCCGCTTTGTTCTTGCCTCTTCCGAGCTTCGTCATCATCCATGGAGTTTCCTCCAGAAAGATACAGAAGAAACGTTGGGATTTCTCGCTTTAACTTTTCTGGAAAAGTAATTTTGCTTCGTCATCTTTCTCTCTTTCTCTCTTTCTCTGTTTGTTTGATTTTTTTTTTCTTTTGTTTTCTTCTGTTGATTATGGATTTTTCTCTATCCAATTAATTCCTTAGCAGATTTTTGCTGCTTCGTGGCTGAACAGGCAAGAAATCTTTGAAATGCCTCAGGTAGTTTCGTCTATTCCGTCATATTTTGAGCTTTATTCATTGGCAAAGAGAAAAGTACCAACGTCTCTCTGCTTTTTGTTCTGCTTCTCGCTTTATTCTGTGCGAATTAGAACATATAATTATAGGTTCGATCTCTGATGTCCTCGTGGGAATATCCGAAATTTTTTTTTGTGCTTCCTTTTCGAAGAACACATCAGGTGTTTTCATATTCGAGTATGAATTTCGAGAATCCTGTGAAATGAGAAGGGGATTTTTGCTCATCTCTCTCGAATTTATCCTGTGGAGGGAGTATTTGTGGGATTCTTGCCATGGCTAGGGATTCTTTCCATTAAACAACTGTATTACCTGCTTATTGTCTTGTTTTGCACTTGATGATTATTCAATGGCTGGTATTTATCATACTGATGGAAACTTTAGACAAATTTGTGTGATTTTTGCGTTCTATTATCACGTGGATTTTCTTGGAGTTAGAAATTGAGGCATTTCTTATACCATATTTATTATTTCCTGCATAACTTGAAGCTCATGGAAGATCCTTAAAATTATTTTCTTATTTAACTGATCGTCCTTCGATTAAAAATGATTCTCCATCATACATGGTGGTGCAAATGAAGGGGAAGATCTCAAAACTGCAGCCAAGGAGTAACTTCTGCAGGAATTATAGCACAGAGGCATGCAATCTTAGATGCTTCCAGATAGAAATACAACGATTTAGCCTCTATATCTCGTCTTCTACTATATGATGAACTAGAAAAATGAATTCTAGCTTCGTTTAATCTTGTGATGTTAAGGAATCTCCTTCTTCAAAAGTGTTTCCACAGTTTTGTGCTTTCTTAGTACAATCTTATGTTTATCTATATTGTTTATCCTTAAAAAAATCTATAGCAAGCTTATTTGGTAACTGTTATCATCTACTTTGAAAACTCGGTCGATGTGTACAGATTATGTTTTCCCCTTCAAGCTTCCATGATGGTTTGATTGATCCTAAAGCTCGTTAACAAACAAACAGGTTTCTTCTGAAGTTCACTGGAAAAGACAAAAAGATAAATCTTCTGGGTGGAACTGAAAGGAAAGAGTTTGGCAAGTGATTATGGATGTCATTTGAACAGATACTAAACCATGTGAGTAAACTTCTCCTTGCTTCATTCTTTTCATTGCAACAATTTACCTTAAATCTTTATAATCGTTTGAACAGGATGCTAATTCCCGGAAGCCTTCTTATGCACAAGTGATGGAAGATTTTGGTAACTTCATACAAGGAAATGGGGAAGATGCCATTTCTTTTAAGCAGAGGGAAACCCAATTGGTTAGCTGAAGTGTTCAAATTCTGCTGTTGGAAGAAGTTAATATATTCATGGATCGTAAGATCATTATTATATGCCATACGAACCAGTGGTTGTATTCTTATATTTTCATTGTTCGAATAAGAATGCTAAAATTTCTAATGCACGTTGTTTGATCCTTTTGGAATCTTGACCAGTTATGGATTCATGTTCATATTGGGAAATCTGAGGGGAAGATATTGGAATCAGAACCTTCACACATTTGTCCAGCTATAAAAGGATTGAAGTGTGCAAATATGAGATGGTAAGTGATTTCCAGGAGCGTGATTGTGACGCTTTTCTCCTTTTAACTTTAAGGCTACGTTTGGAAGAATGAGTTTGAAGGAATTTTGATTCATAGAATGGAATCAGAACGTAGGTTTCACTTTTAAATTTGGAATTATTCTTTCTATCTACATCTATTGACATAGTTGTTTTTTTTAGTATCCACAATGAGTTCAAATCATCTCTCAGTAGCTTTGTGAAGAAGAAAAAGAAACTTCAGCACGTGCATTGAAGCTACCTTTTACTTTTATGAATCCAGAGCTGTCCAATCTCAAGTGATGATTTCATGAACTAAGTCCTCTGGTTGGTTTATCTTCCTTTTCCAGCCTAAATATCAACTCTCCAAGTTTTCAGTTTCCTCGTATTAGTTGCTTTTGTAAACCAATATAGGTGTGAAGCCCAACCTATGTTGATGCCAATGGCATGTTAGAGCTGGTCATCAAGTGGTGTGTCAGTGAGAATTGGAGCTTCAAAAGGCAGGATTGTGAGATCTCATGTTTGTTGGAGAGGGAAACGAAGAAACCTCTCCCTAAAAGACCGCCTTTTAAAATAGTGCATTTAAAATTGTAAGTCTAACGATAGATACGAGTAATTATTGAACCAATCAATTAATATAATTAAGGTAAAAAATGATCGGTCAATCGAGTTAGGAATTGGGGGATTGAATCTTATCCGAATCATAACGACTGACTCACGTTCTAAATCTCCCTACGGTGCAAGCTTGTTTCTATTTCCTCGCTATTTGGCTATTGTTATTTAAATAAATTAAATAAATGTTGCATTTATGACCAAACCTTGTATATATGTATATATATATAAATAATTTTTAACAGGAAAATGTAACCTACTTGTAAGTGTGAGACGACTGATTGATATTATAAAATTTAAATAATATTTATGAGAATTTTATAAAACAACTAATTCTAACATTTAAAAATGTTAGAATAATTTGTCCATATAAATTTTATAAAGAAATAAAAATAAAAGGGACAGTGGAAATTCTGCAATTAGCAGTCGTCTTGCTCACACCTCGAAGGGCTTTAGGGAAAGAAATCGAAGTAGTAAACATCGGCAGAGGGTAAATGCGACAGACGCAGCTGCCAGCGCAGGGCCTGACTGCGACGGTGAGCCCTACCACTGTTCTGCGTCACTCTTCCGGATCCGCGGAGGAGGCGCCGCCGAAGCAGGTCGCACTCGCCATGGACAGACTCGGCCATGCCGCCCGCCTCATCGCAGACATCAGGCTCGGCGCTGATCGCCTTCTTGAAGCCCTCTGCGTCACTGCACAGCCTCACCAGAGCACCAAGCCTCTCCACTTGTTCCAAAAAGAAGACGCTTCCATGCGCCAACACCTTCTCGACCTTCGTGCTGTTGGTATTTTGCATCACTTATTTTTCTAGGGTTACGTCTATGATTTGAATGCGCTTACTTAGGGTTAATTAAAATCATTTCGGTAGCGGGATCAGGCATTCGCTTACTTCCCGGACTAGTCGATTTTAGATTCAAAATGCCCTTATTGAAGAGGGGGTTTAATTTCTGCCGGACGAGATCATACAATTGAAAGAAGGGTTAAACGTTCGCAAGATTTTAATTATTTTACTTCAAATTTTGTCAGGAAAGCAGCTTGAAGAGTCTGGTGTTCTCAGTGAATCTCTTCTTTCGAGAAGTAATTCCTGGGGTCTACATATGCCTTTAGTGTGTCCTGATGGCGCAGTGGTTGCTTATGCTTGGAAACGTCAATTAGCTGGCCAGGCTGGTGCATCCGCAGTTGACAGAACCAGGTTGGTTGAGACATTTCGCACATATCCATCTAGGAAAAATAGCTGCTCAAGGGCTTGGATTGGGAAAAACTACTTAAATTTGCAAGTTCACTCGATATTTCTTCTTATTTCTTAAGGCGGTAGCGTGTTAATTTAGACTCAACTCGCTAAATTAAGTTCCCAAATTCCTTTTATAGAGATAGTAGGAAACTGGGCTTCCAGACTCGGCTTGATAGTTTTAGTAAGTTGTGGTTGATATTTAAGGAAATTCAAGCCTCTATCAGACTGGATATTGAGTTGCTTGTAGCAACTTGACTTTTCCGGGGCAATATTTTTGAAAATACGAAGAATTTGATCAAGTATCTTATATGCATGTACGTAAGTTTATTGAATGGTCAACAATAAGAACCTGATTTGTAAGATGAATAGATGCATTATGGAAATGACATTCACAGCTACTGTTAGGCTACGGTTGATATTGAACAATATAAATTATTTTTATTTCTTTTGATCATTTTTGTGTTGAAACCAGATTGTAAGGGCCCCTGAATCTATTGAAGTGATCACACAGTCTCATTGTTTTTTTCACCTTCACCGGGTTTTAATTGTTTAACAAGTTCTCTGATTCAGAGAGATGAAGTTCACAAATGATTGGCTTTAAAATGTTTTTGCTTCTATTTTACTGTAGGAGAGTTTCAGTTGCCACTAAAGTTCAATATAATAGACAAAATCTGGTAAATTTTAATCTGACTTTCATTAGTTCAGGTAAATGCTTAACTGATGCGTTACTACATTTATAGGTTAGCTCTAAAGGCCTTCACTGACCAGAAAAGACGGTTTTTCCCTCATCTTGATGAAGAAAATGGGTCGAATATGGAGCCTGCTCAAAAGAAGCCTTGTTTTTCTCATGGAGTGACAGATGTTAAACAAGAGGAGCTTAATGATTCTAGTTCACTTTCAGATATTCTAACATGTATGGAAAAGGAAGTGCCAGACCTTAAGATTTTCACATATGAGCGATTGGACTGGTTGAAACAAGCTTCCGTACTTCCCTCACAAGCAAATGAGAATTCCATAGGAACATTGAAAGAACATAACTATCATAGTCCTAGGATGAGCCCCAGATCACTTGATGCTACTTCTACTGATAAAGCTGCTGTGATTGAGTTGATAATCCCTTCTGTCTTTAGAGCCGTAGTGTCGCTGCATCCAGTTGGTTCGGTTGAACCAGATGCTGTAGCTTTCTTTTCTCCTGATGAGGTACTCTATTTTGTGCTAAATTCTCATTGGCAAAGTTTTCTTACTCATTATTTTGTTGTACTGGCTACAAGAAAATTCTTTCAATGAGCTGTGCTATTGTCTGTCAATGCTCTGGGAGTTTCTTTTCTCCTGATGAGGTACTTTACCTGCCAGTTGCATGTCTAACGATTTGCAACCAGTTGATTTATGAAGTAGCTGGCGTGGACCAATAGTGATTTGTTGTAATGCTTTTTATGTTCTATTTGTAGCATTGTACTTTAGCTGAACTGAGAGTAAGGTAGACATGATTTTCATAGCAAATGCAATTAGACTTTCTTAGTTGTATTCCTAAATTATCTAAGCTCCACCTGGTTTGATTCATTGCACTTTTTCCCATTGATTTTCCTTGTATCTCAAGGACTTAAGTTGGTTACTATTGCAGTTTATTTATAAATTTTTTGTGTTGCAACAGAGAGGCAGCCATGTACATGCCAGGGGTTTTTCAAATCATCATTTATTTAGACATGTGACGGTACCTATCGCTGTGTTCATTATGTTTACAAATTCATGTTTCTGGAGTTTGCACTCTCTTAATGACGATAATTCCTTTTTCTCAATGCAGGAGCATGCTGCAACGGTGCTGCAGTACTTTATTGGAATTCAAGCTAAAGCAGCTCTACATCCTCTATTGGTAACATCGTCCATTAAATTTTTGGACATGCTTATTCTTTCTCCGCTCCATTTAAAATCCTCGAAAATTTATATGTGGTTTTCTTTTTTTTTTTTGTAGCTTTGGATCTGCAGCTATCAAAATTTATTTTCAAAAGCTTGTAGGTGCGTGTAAGGATTTCAGTGCTTCCGTAATTGGTAATATATGGATTTGTCATTTTAATGGTGTGTTAATCTGGTCTTTTGCAGTAAATGCGGACGGCTACTATCAGTAAACAAACAATCAGATTTACTGCTACCTCCTGCAATTCGCCCCTACAAGCAGTTTTGTACATCTAAAATCTCATCAGCTGTGCCCGTAACCTCATTGAAAGACCAGAAGTTGGATTCTGTTCAGGCTTTCCACATTGGTTGCTTCACAGAACTGTAGTCACACCTAGCTCTACAGGTACAGCTGGATAAACCACACAATTGCTCGATCCTTTTAAAAGCCTCTAGTTGATTATGAAATTATTTTATCTGGTAACAGTTGATTACGGTAGTCACACCAGTTCCTTTTAATCAACAATTGCCGCTATTCAAGGTTGCTAAGCTCACTTTTTCATGGCTCATACTACGACATTTAGTCTGTGTTTAGCGGTTCTTAAATAGATATCAAACATTGCAAGGGAATTTTCTCTTCTTTCACCCTCTGCTCTGATTACTTTGTTCTGGTCCTTTGCCTTTTACTCGCCTTCTTCCAACTGAACCATGTTTTTCTTAACTTCTACTAATCACTTTGTTACTAACAATAATAGTGTTATAATACCTCTGAGCACCTCATGGACTCTGATTCACATATCATACAATATCAGTATTTTCCATGAATTAGTATGCTCAGAATTAGAAGAGGACGCAGCCTGCTTGCTATATTGTACTGCTGTTGTTGATTCACTAGCCCGTGCATTATATTTCATTTCAGGTGCCACACGCTCATTTGCAAATTGCTGCACTGCGTTGCAACAAGTACATTAGAGGAGTGGTATTCAGAATATTCAGAGGAGGCAATGATAATGTCAAAAGAACCATCCAATTTCTGAGGTGGTTATTTTTATGCTGGCTCAAGTGGCTTGTCATCTTGAAGGGAAGAAAATGTCATTCATTTGCATCGATTTGAGCAGTTGCTAGCTCCTTCATACGTTTGATCACAGAAACATGTGTATCTTTGCCCTTCAGATTGATGTTAGAATGATAATAAGTTCGGTGTTGGGTGCACGGCCATTTAGGTAAGTGCTTCATCATTTACTTATTCTAAAATTATCTTGTACTCTACTAATTTCCCCTCTTCCACCTAACTTTGCCGTCAATATTTGCTTATTATTTCAGTTAGCAACAAAATTTGGAAATGCGATATTTTGTATTAGATGTGGGACTATGATAGTACATCATAATTTCAATGATATGTGACAAAATTTGTATGAAGATGACTAAATGTAGAATTTAGTGAACGTTGAATGACCAAAAAAAAAAAGCTAGAAGTTGAAGGGCCACAACGAAAACGTAACTCGGATTGATTTCTCAGTTGACACTGGCTGCCGTCCATCGTTTTTTTCCTCTGTTATCTCGGCTCTGCCTCTATTCCTCCCTTCTTGTAACATTCTCAATCCAACAACAAACAAACAACCACATCTGGAAATTCGTTTCCGAAACTCGAGATGCAAGAAGTGCAACTCGAGAACACTTGCGAAGAACTGTCCAGTTTCAAGGACCATTGATGTTATCTTATCTATCTATATATATATATATATATACATCGGCATACCCAAAAATCATAGCCAACAATTGATCGCAGTGGAACCACAAAAGAACTGGAACATATTCAGCTACCTATCCAAACAGAAGCTATCCACCTACTACAGAAAAGCAAGAGGCAAAGAGAAGCATCAAGGTGTACCTCGTGTTCTTCAACGACCATCGCCCGAAGTGAAGGACTCCGCAAACCCAGTTGGCCTCGATGGTATGCTGCCCTTGCTGTCTTGCAGCTCAGAATAACTCAAATCCTTCCCTTCTGATTCTTGCCA